CTTGCAAATATTGGCTATTTTTCAATTATCAGTCCAAAAACCGAAGAGTTTGTGATATTTTCACGAATTTTGCACCATATAACGAAATAGGTAACCTAGTTAGTTTGTTTGTGACAGTTGACCTAATCAATGTCTGCACATTATCTTAATCTGAATACAATAGCCTAAGTTTCTATCAGGCTTTAGGTCAATGATTATGCCCGGATAGGCATAATCATTGCATCGATTAATTCATATAAATTCCGGTAGTGAAAAGAACACTATCACTACAAGAAAAAGGCTTATTTATGACCAACAATTAGCGACAAGTCAAAAATCTGGTCCTTAAAACCATATTTATAAGGTCCAGATTTTCTTTTGGTCCCTAATTTTTGAATTTATGTTTTTATTTGACGAATGGACAAAATATGGTCCGTATAATTATCAATAACTGGTCCCTAATTATCTAAATCAAGCGGGTATAAGCGCCAAATAAATTTTGACTTCAAAAAAGAATGGAGAAATAAAATAAAAATCTATAAAAGCATTCTCTCTAAAACATAACTCTCTGCCTCTCAAAATCCTTAAACCTAATTTTATCTGAGAAAAGTCTAAGTGAGAGCAAACACCATTGGGCCTTTTGGCAGCGGAGCTATCATATATTCTCTTTATCTAAAATCGTTGTCCCTTTCTCGTTTTCTCAAGTCTTAATCTTGATCTCCGTTGTTTGCCAAAACCAATTTTCGACAAATTAACTCTCGATACTTATTGCCTTCACCATTGTTGGACCTAGGGTAATAATTCTGGCATCCTTTGAGTATAACAACTAGCTTTAGTTTTTATATTTTTTGGATATGATTTTCTCACCTATCATGTTCTCCAGCGTGTACACTTGACCGTGTGCCTAGAACTCGCCGGAATCCTTCTTGCCTACTCTGTCGCCATTGTCAGGAAGCATGTAGATTCATATATTCAAAGAGAGCTTCAGGTGCGTCTTTGGTTTAATTTCGAACTATGTGTGTTCTTCTTGCTCTTGTTGTGATACTTAATTTGTGAAGATTCATCTATAATGGTACTGCTAAATTAGTGTAAGATTGTTGTGATTATTTTTTCCTTAATTTTTTTAGAAATGGCTAATCCAGATTTTAATTTCATAGATATCCTTATAATTGCACGCCATCTGTTCGACTAATTGGCTGAATGCGTTTTGGAGCCTTAGAACTATCAATCTTTCATCCCAACTAATATAACACTCTAAAAAACTTTTTTATGTGGATATATTTTGCAATATATGTTTTGATTTTCAGTAACGCATATTTGAATAAGAATTATAACATCTTTTAAAAGTTATGAACAACTATAATTGTACTACAACTTTTAGCAGCATAATTAATATTGTAGAGGCAGCATCAACTGTGATAGATACCAGAAATAGTTAAATACTACATTATGACATTATAAATACATCACATTTAGACAAGTTCAATATATAACAAAATTTGAGCTAGAAAACTGACATTACACCTTAAACGGTTGCTACATTAGGCAAATAAGGTGAGAGTACAATAAGTAATAGCCAAATAATAAAATACCAAATACATCTATAATGCAAGTTTAATGTTCACTATGAGACTCTAGTACTACTTTCAGTTGATAATGTCTTATAAGAAAGTACATTGAACAATTCAAAAATATTAAGAAGAAAAAGATAACGGATGTTGGGATCATCAAAGCGGAAGAACTTAGAAGTCATGCACATGTTGCAAATGATTTATTTTTTAACTCTAGGAGGTGTTGAAGAATGGATTTTGAGGCTAGGGAAAGAGTTATTTCTTTAAGATAATGATTGTGATACTTCAGTCATTCGATGAACTAATGACTCCAATGAGAGGAAAATCTGGAATATATATTTTATATCTATTTTTGTTCTCTTCCTTTATCATTGACTTACAATTGCACTACTTTTAGAAAAATGGTAAATTCTTGGTAGTGCTAGCGGAATGTACAAAGGCGGAGTCTTTGTATTGCTAGCGGAGTGTATCTTGATGAAATAATCTATCATTTCTAGATTCCAATGATATGCGTGTGGGTTGTTTTGATTGCCCTTTTAAAAAATTGTCGATGGTTTAGTAAATTGCTTATGAGTAATTATAACCGAATTTCTTTCGATGGGTCAATAACCTTACAGTTCTTCATGTGTTATTTTACTTGTTTATTGTTGGTAATCTATATTTTAATGATCTTATTGTACTGATAGTTTAGCAATCTAACAGTTCATTTTGGGTCGTTTAGTACCAAAATTGTTCCTGTCTGTCTATGATAAGTTGACCCCCATTGAGAAAGAATATTTGTTATTGTTGCTGATTATTCCTAGAATTACTATGACATGCTCATTAATTTTGATCTTGCTTGTCCGATGGATGATACTATATGTTCATTTATGAAATCTCTTGCCAATAGTGAAGAAGAGAAAAAGATCACATTATTAGGGACAACTACCAGATATGTTGTAGGGCAATTATTAAGGAATTACAATCTCTATAGTTATTTATTGAAATCTAAAATTTTTTGTTGATAGAAACTAATGGGTAATGACATGCTAGAGCTTTTTTTGATAGTTCTCTGTTTTTACTAGTTTTCTCTTTGGAATAATAATTGCAAGTTTGCAGTAACGATATTGGAGTAGTTTTTAGTTCGTTGCCTACTATTGTATCTTTAAGTTGGACGAAAAAGCACAAGCCTTATGATTGAACAAAATCTTCTCAATTAAGAAACTTCAAATTGCAGATTCTCTTTGTCGAGGCTATGAAGTACCCGGAGGTGTTACTTAAGCACTCGCTGGAAACACATTTACTGTCCTTTGAGATAAACACGAGGAAACATAAAATTTTGCTTGCCTTGCAGGTAAGTTCCTTTATAATTCAATTGTTCGAAAAATTCCCCTTCCTTTTTGCTTATATTCTATCTATTCATATATCATTTGTGTATATCTATGCTGGGTATTGGTTCCAGTACATTTTAGTCAACATGCTTGAATTCTCATCCTTTTCCCTTTCTGTTTTACTTATTTCCGATGATGATGTATTAGAAATCAAAGTTTTCTTTTTTTTTTCTCCTTACAAAAGAGAGTTATCCTTTTCCTACTGAATGACCATTGATAAACATTCTCTTTTCCAAGCTGTAAAATATCTATTGAGCTGAGGTTGTGCGCATTTTTGTTTTCTAAATACATTTTACTTTGTATATTTTACAGGATTTGGAGACTTTCGTTTACAAGTGAAGATGCAAATTTGAATGCTTTGAAAAAGTTGACAAGTTAGTTAATGTTTTGCTAATATTATTTGGCAAAACACTTAGGGGTACTGTTAGCTTCTTTGGCTAATGAGTTGTGTATATGGTATCGTGATTATATATTTTTGTAAATAATATTTCTTATGGGATATTAATCTGTACCTCTATTTAATTCGATTTGTAATTTTGTTTATATGAATTTGATTGTCTATTCTAAAAATTGTAATGATATGTTAGAAAAACGTGACAAGAAAAGAGCATGTATTATTTAGGTGCAACATTTTGTGGCCAAGGACCAGATTTCTGGTTGTAAATGACTTTTGAGGACTACTCAAACTTATCGGTAAAATGTATTTAAGGACCAAAAACATGGTCGCAAAAGGGTTTTAGGGACCAGTGCTTAAGCGGTCGCTAATAAGTTTTAAGGACCAGTGGAAAAATCTGGTCCCTATTGACCTTTAGCGTTGGAACCTATAGCGACGGGTGGCGACCAGATTTTTCCCGTCGCTATTGAGATTTAGAGACCAGAAACAGACTTTTAGGGACCATTTTGCTCGTCCCTAATAGCGCTTTTTCTTGAAGTGCTAGTAGGTGAGATACTGGACAGCTATAAATTGCGGAGTAAAGTGTATGTTTTTGTATTTAACCAACTACAAAAACTTATATTGCCTCATAATCAATATGTGACTAAGTAAATGCAGCATTGGTTCTCATAACTAATAACTGGCCGGTGAAACTCCCATCTGGACCACATTGTTAGGCCTGAATATGTGATCAACATTTATGGCTGTTACTATATCAGAATCGAAAATGTAATAACTTAATTTTTTGTCCAAGTCTCAAAACCATTATAGAGTTAATGGTTAAATAGATTGAGTCTTTAATCCTAAACACAATGAAATTTATTAACACTAAGTCCAACATGACATATAAACCCTAAAGTAGAAACCCTAAATAGGCATTATTAAATGTTGAACCTCAACTGCACTATATAGCTATTTTAGGATCAAACGGTACCGATTACATGTCGAGTGCCCATGATTGTTTTCTCCAACATTAGTCAAAATAATGAAGAAACACCATTTCCTTATCATCTCTTTACCAGCACAAGGCCACATAAATCCCACTCTCCAGCTCGCCAAAAACCTCGCACGCGTCGGTGCTCGTTGCACCTTCGTCACAACCGTCACTACTTATGTATTATAGCTACGAAATCTTAGCTATGAATTTAAGAATCGTGGCTAATGCCTAGCAATAGCCACAAAAATTAAAATTCTATGGCTATTTTCAAAATTGTAAAATATCTTAGCTACGAACACTGAATTGGCAAAGCTAATTTCTAACATTTGCTATAATTACTAATAATCGTGGCAATAACAATCTGAATAGCTACAAATTTATTGCTACAGTAGAATTTCACAGTTAATCATATGTTTTTGCCACGCGTCAAAGTTATTGTAGCAATAGTAATATTGCAGCTACAATAAATTATTTGAAACGATATGTTGTAGCTAAATGAATATTTTTGCTTCAAGTTAAAAAAAGTCGTGGCAGTAGTTAAATGATACACCCCAGGGTCCTCGGGTGTTAACCGGACGAGGCTCGGACCAAGTTTGAACTTGGAGAGCATAAGTTGAAGCTCCCAGCTTCTGGTGTGATCGCACCTGCGCTTAGATAGCCGCAGGTGCGAGCTCGAAGAAGCGGGGCATGACTCGTAGAAGCGAAAAGGCATGGGCTGGCCAGGCACTGCGGACGCGAAGAATTTGGCCGCCGGTGTGAAGATTGCAGGTGAGAAAATCCATCGCAGGCGTGGATGCCGCAAGCGCGAAAGTTTTTCCGCAGGCGCGAAGGTTTTGCCGCGGGCGCGAAGATCGCTGGGCAGTGAGTGTTTATGGCAGGGGTTTGAGCATTTTTGCTCATTTCTTCATCCTTGGGCGATTTTTGGAACTTCTTGAGAGGGGCATTCACCTAGCAACTTGGAGGTAAGTTAATCCCGCCTATTGCAAGTTAATTACTTGGATTATATCTAGATTTTAACATGGAAAATCATGGAAAATTAGTGGAAACTTAGGATTTTGAAGAAAAACCTAGAGGTACTTACAAATAGTACTAATGTTGTGGATTTAACTTAAGTCACAAATCTTGGATAAATATTATTGGTGATTTAGTTCTAAGTTTAAATATTTAGTAAATGTTTAACAAACGTTGCCGTGTTGGACGTTTGCTATTTAAGAGTCTTTGGACCACGACTTCTGAATTAACATTACTATTACTATTACTACTATATATAAATGAACAAGTGTGTACGTACACAGTTGTAGTTTGTTGTACAAAAAGCTGCATGAGTTGTATTTTCTCTATTTACTGGTTCATTGTCATATTTCATGACACGTGTACAGTCTTTGTATCTGTGTGGACATCTGTCTTCCACTTCCATTTCATTTCCCGTACACCTCTTCCATTGTCAACTTATCTACATTGTCTTGCATTGCTCCATATATGACGCTGCCAAAATTTGGTGTTTCTTTTCCATTTCTCAATTCAACTTCTTTGCTGGTAAGTTTCTTCTTCTAAAGGTAGTTCTTTTGCCCATAATTTTTTTTTGTGTTTTTGTTTTGCTTTCCCTTTCTTTCTGTTATTATTCAGAAGAACCCCTCATTTCATTTTACACAAGTTTAGCCAGTATTGTGTCAAATGGCAGAGTTCTATGAGAGATCTGACTGTATGGAGACTTGAGAAGGGCTCAATTTCAATTGCTTTAGGGATTTAGTTCAATTCATCTTCCATCATGATCATGTGGCTTACATCTATTCAAGAAATTCATGTGGCTTACGTCTATTCAAGTAATTCATGTGGCTTTGACTCTTCTATTAACTGATTCTGCGCATGCATTTGAAGAAAATGGATAAGAGAGAAAGAAAGTTTGCACTTTCTAGCGAAACACACATTAAAAGCAAAAATAGTAGTAACAAAAAGGAAAAGTTGATGCATGTTTGACAATGTGCCTAAAACTACTGAGTATTTTTTTAGTTCCGTTCCTTTTTTCATCGGTCCATTTGTGTCACTTTTTTGGTTTTCTGTTGTACTTCTTTCTCCATTTCGTTCTTCTCTGATGTCGTCTCATCTCTACCCTGTAAAATAAGGTAACATTTCTCGTAGTCTTCGCAAGCTATGTTGCGCGGACTCTCCGAAAATGTGGCCCGATACGATGTCGGATCCTCCAAAAGTAGTTCATTTTTGAAGGATCCGACTCGGGTGCGGCTACATTTTGGAAAGTCCGCGCAACATAGTTCAAAAGCCCATTCTGAAGATGTTAAGATGAATGGCTGAATTTGACAACCTTATGGGCTTCAAAGAGGATCTGTTGTGCGGAATAATTAAAACATAATTTTTACCAAATTAGCCAATTTGTTTTTAGGCCTTATAACTAAGATAATTGAAAGCATAAGTTGTTGCCAAAAAAGCTCAAGAATGACCTTCTCTGCTATGCATATACAGATATCTCTTTCTGCTCATATGAGGTGTTATTGAAGAGGAAACGTGAAGAGAGGTATTATAAATGAAATTGCATGCATGTAAGAGGATAAACATTATTTGCACCATATACCACCATAAATAATGTTTCACTCCTTTGATGCAGATAAGGCATAAAAATTATTGTCTTCCAGTGCATATAGATCATTCTTCTTAGATCCCTTGGCCAGAAGTCTCCCTGAGCTCTTGTCCTTTACAACAAAATCAGACTCATCAAACTCATGTGTACAGAAATTGTCCTTAGCAAGTTTACTAACTGATAGCAGTTTCTTCTTAATCTTAGGGACAACAAGAATTTACTTTACTTTAAGTCCAGATTTTATTGTATTTCCAATATGTGTGATGTCAAGTTTAGAGCCATCCCCAATTATTATCTTATCAGAACCATTGTAAGGTTAAAGGTTTGGTAGGTTACCTGTTGAATTGGTTATGTGGCTGCTTGCACCAGAGTCAACATACATAGCTTCATCTTCAGCCTGTGTGTTCTGGAGATTAACAGCAGAAAAAGCCTGTGATAGATCCTCTGTAGCCTGGTAGGAATAGTCCCTCCTGTAGAAGCATTTTAGGGCTGTGTGATTGTTTCTTCCACATATTTGGCAATTTTCCTTGCCCTGTTGTGATCTTGAATTGACAGTGTTCTGATTAGTTTGATTATTCAGATTGCTGCCTTGTCATGCAGGTCTGAAACCTCTTGCTCTTGAGGAGAAGTTTGAGTTTCCTCTTCTGTCACTACTAAAAAATAGCTGATTTGCGACTGAAAATTTGCGATCGACACAATCAGTCGCACATTAGTGACTGATTCGGTCGGAATTTTCAAAAATAATATTTGTTATATTGTTTTTAATTGTTTCGACTATTTTTCCGACAACATTGGCCGCAACGTTTGGTGCAAAAATCCGGGATAAATAATTGCGACGGATTCAGTCGGAAACTAAAAGTCAAACAATTTTATTTGACCATTTGTGTCCGTTTCGGTCGCAACTTGATTATTCTGATTGTTGCCTTGTCCTGCTGGTCTGAAACCTCTTCCTCTTGAGGAGAAGTTTGACTTTCCTCTTCTGTTAGAGTAACCTCCACGACCTTTTCCTCTCTGAGCAGCAAAAGCCATATTGTAGCCTTGTTGAACCACTTCTTCTTCATCTTCTCTCATGTCAAAGCCTCTAAGGGCATTGACAAACTGGTTCAGTGTAGGATATGGGGCCTTTCCCAGCATGACAGTCTAAAAGTTTTGTACTTTTGGCCAAGTCCTCTAGCAAAGTTGATTACTTTGCTGTCTTCATCAACAGGCTTGTGTATGGCTGAGAGGCCATCACATATGCCTTTGAATTCCTACAAGTATTCATCAAGCTTTTTGGTTCCTAGCTTGATGTTCTACAGCTGTTGCTTAAGCTGAAATTCCTTATCTTTGGTTGCCCTGCAGGTTATGCTTCCTCCAGACATTCCCACATTTCCTTGGAGGTTGAGCATCCCACTATGAGATACATGCTTTCTTCAGTCATTGTAGCAGAGATCCAACTCCTCAGGAGCACATCTTTTTCCTCCCAGTCGACTGTCGTGTCTGCACCATTAGTAGCAGATGAACTGCTTGTGTCTGGCTTGCCTTCCTTGATCAAGTTTGTCACCTTCATCACCTGAATCAACTGGAGTATTTGTGTCCTCCAGATTAAATAGTTTGATGGCTTCAACTTAACTGGACAAGAGGCAATCAGATGGTGCAGGGGAGGCAGGGTGATAGACACAGAGA